GAACGGTTTTTATAATCCACTCCTTTCGAAAGTGTCTCAACGTCGACGACACTTCATTTTGGGGTATATCGATCAATGATCATGCAGCAAATTGTAAATTGATCGACTTCCACCTATTACGGCACATCGAATTTGTCGAACGCTGCAATTGGTATTAACGTTTTCGAATCGTCGTCAAATGGTGTCACTGACGGCTCGCGTGTCCCGCGCGTTACGAATCGATTAAGATCGAACATGTAAAAAATATAACGTACAAACCGAGACGAAATTGACTTTTTCCACGTTGATGGAGCACGGTAATAGAATTTGTTGGACGGTCTCGCGTCGGGAAATTTAGGTGCGGCACGTATTTTCATCAATCGCCTGTATAGCGGCATAAAATCATCCCGAGCCGAATTCATGGGAGTAAATCAGCCCGTCGGAAACATAAATTTAATATCGCCGCACCGTGTCGAGAGTTAACACACCTTTTATTAAATATAGAGCAGAACTTCGCCGCGGCTGAACGAATTTAACGTCGCCACGCAGGGAAGTTACAGCCGTTGTACGTTCTATTTCGTTTAAAGTAACTACGAACCCCCTTCGCTCCAACGCGCTTTATTGCGTTACCCGCGATCGTGCGCAATGATTCGACGTCAGAAAGTTTTCACGAACTAATAGCAAATTAAAATCCGATCCACGTGTACGGGAAATAGAACTTTCCCGATCTGAATTTCCACGAGAACTGTCTCCTATTTAATGACACGCGGCACGGTGGTGATCTTTGCGCTCGCTCTGTATTTTCACAGTATCAAATCTTTACGGTGCAATACGTTTAGAGCCGATACTTGAACACGTGTCACAGCTTTCGGGCAGCTGCGCCGTCGCGTCGTAAAACGGCCGAACTCGTAGGTAATCCCTTACGCGATGCAATGTAAAAAAGTGTGTATACCACGTTCCGGTCTTTTGGCTCCGTCGTTACGACGTGTACCGCTTTTACGGTTTTCTATACCGCTGTGTCGGGGAATTTGGTTCGCCCTTGAAAGCTCCCGTCGGACGACGCTTCCCCTGATTGTGGAACAATGAAAAACTTGACGGTAGCACGACGAGCCAATCGCGTCTTATACTTTCCGGAAAATCGAATCCAAGGCACGAACGATTTGAAAATGTTACACGTCGTCGATCGGAGTACCAACGATGATCGAACTCGTCACTGCTTCGTTGCTTTGAACGAGCCAAAAGCCCGGATACGGAATCGAATGGTTCAAAGCAAAGTAAACAGCTGCGGATGCGAAGCAGGCATGGTAAGGGAACTCGCGTAATGAACGCACTACGCTAGCGTCGGTTTGGACGTATGGCGTCGATTACGGAACCTGCGTCGACGATTAATACCACTAGGCCAGGCAATTACCAATTTTGCCTCGAATTTCGTTCCGTTCTCTTCTTTCTTCCGTCGAACGTCAGCGTGGGGCTGGCGCCTGTCGCTTACAGTGAATGAAATCCGACGATTTTGGCAGCGTTTAATAGATTTTCCTGTTGCCAAATGAAACGAATCGCGCGATTTAGCGTGCCCGCTGTTAGCCACAATAATTTGATTGCTGCACCAATCAAACCTGATTTTGTCAATTATTTAAAAACCGTAGTAATACCGGCGACAGAGATGAACGTTCGCGAGTCTTGTCGACGGCGTTCTACCGTTTATTTAAAATTTCCGATCGACGAGTACTGAGAGTAGGAGGGAGGATGATTCGTCGGTTCCTCCGGGCGAAATCCAAATGAACGCGTGCCTACCCCTCGTGTTTGATCATCTGCGCCCCTGTTCCCGACGTCAGCGTCTGTCAGGTTTAATCGTTACGACCTGTCCCTCGGCCGACAAAGAAGTAAATTAGGCTACTTTCGCCGAATTTCCACGGAGGGGCTGGCCAAAACAATACGCCGACGTTTAACCCTTTCGCCTGGCAAAGAACCGACGACGGGCGACGGGAAATCGATAACGCGTGCGCACGAATTTATTAATATTTAGGTGCGATTTGATGGACGGTGCTGAACACGAATAATTCGGTGTCTCGATCGTGCTCAGCATTCATCAAGCGGGTCGTCACAGTAGTATTCGATAGGATGAATTCTAGCTTCTCATTTATCTTTTCTACGAGACCAATTGAGTCCGACAGAACTATATTGTACTGATGAATCACTTACCTGCGAGATCACCGTGTCCAGAGGATGAGCTTACTCGCTCTCGTGCGATGCAGTTCATCGGAAAACGTAACGCATGAACGAAGTACAGTCGAAGGAACGTGAAACACTGTTCGACCTGTACAGATTTAAACCAAGTTCCGATTTACACGATACGTAAATCTCGCGTGGAACAGTTTGAAACCTGTAACGTTCGAACGAGTCAGCGGGAATTAAAAATTGATGGTCGCGTCTCGCCGTGGGATTGGAACGCAGGGACGATTTGAAATAAATTGAGTCAACGGGGATGCACAAAAAACGTTAATGTAATAACAATAATATATATATATGTAACGTATATGCATGTATACATGGTTCTTATCAACAATTTCATCGTTCCGCTTTCTTATAGTTAGGCTACCCAAAAGAATGTCACCGGACGCGGCAAAGTCGGATCCCGTCTCTTTACCGAGGTCGTTATTGACCGTCGTATTACTTCGAATGAAACGAGCCGGTTTCGTTCGCGTCCCCCTAACCAGCCGGCACGACGACCGGTATAATGCGTATTCATTTACTTATTTATTTATTTATTTATTTATTTATTTATTTATTTATAATATATTAACATCTTCGATTCTCCTCGGACACGTCGGCTTATCTAAACGCAGTTACGAAAGAAATTGCCCTAAACCATTTTTTCCTCGCTTACGTCTATTCAGAATTCGGGGGCTACACGTTCTGTGATCCACGTTAGGGACCCCGAAACCGCATAAGAGACCGCGCGTCCCTCGGCTAACAGAGAAACCATGGAACCCGAGCCTGACAAGTGTTTCTACGAGCGAACGGAGTACAGTCGTGAAAATCGATTGACTCAGTGCATTTCGTTTGGGCAGCTAAGATCTAGGACAACGCGGCGATTTCGAGATCCCTGATCTACGTTTTTCCCATTCGACGATACGCGTCTGTGTGAAAGAACGATATAATACGCGTGTCCGAGGTGCGTTATAGTATGTACAATCGCCCGTCGAATCATGACATGAACGACTGCGGTATCGGGTTTTTGATTAATCATCGGCAGTCTAATCGTCGCTCTTTCCCACCGTTGGACCGTCGACACAGTTGAAACACCTTTACGTCTCATAACTTCGTTGCTCTCCGGAATGTTTGGCAGTGATGTTTCTAAGGTAAGGGATGATTCTCGATCCCTGTCGTCATCTTCACGTGCGCGCGTCTAACATTTCTCGTCGATTACGAGCTTGATTGCGTCAAGTGCAAATTTCATTTGCCATGTCGAAAACGAATGTATACATGTACGTTCTATGATAGGTACAGTCGCGAATAAACAGATTCGAGGACTAACGACTTGAAACGAGAAGATCTGAGAATTTTTATGACCTGGTACACGACAGTTTCGTAGACAATTGACAGTTTTTCGTGTATCGTGAATTTCTATCGGTAGAACTTACGCGTGTATTACGTACAGTGTGCTCTCGTCAAAATTCAACGAGTACGATGATGGATCGTCGGACTGGAACGTTCTGGAGGAGATAAACGCATGAACTCGCAGCATTTTAAATCGTTGGATGATAAGAGAACGGACTGCGCCGTTGAAACGTGTGCAACGTTTCGTTCTTTGAGTACAACGCGAACGCGTTGTAAAAAACGCGAGTGGACGCTAAAAAGAGTGTACAAAAACGGAGTGAACAAAACTCTCTAGCTGTGAATCCTCGCGATGAACAACGCGTGATTTTACGCGCGCAACGGGTAAAGAAAAAGGAAGCTCTTTCATCGGGGTTTATCTTCACGGCTGAACGAGTCGAAGAAACGGACGGCGACGACGGGCCGAGAAAGCCTCGCGACACGGAAGTACGCGAGACGCGTTTCAGGGAAGGGACACAGAGGCGAGAGAAAGAAGAAACAGAAAAAAAATGGGGAAGTGAAATTTTACGAGCCTCGACCCGTGAGCCACGAACGTAAAGCTGCTTTACGACGTCTAGAACGAAAGTTTCATTCCGTGACGCGGCACGACGCAACGCGTCGCGACACGACGGAGTCGTCGATGCCGGGGCGTCGGGGATCGACTTGCCCGGAAATAAACTGTCGTTACAGTCGCGGGTGTGTGTGTGTAGAGGACTCGATAAAAGTAACGAACAGTCCTTTGCGGTTCTCGGGGTGAAGGTAAAACCATCGAATCAGAGCTGAACGCGCCGACGTCGCCCTGGTAACGCAAGGACGTAAACGACGTATGGAACAGAATATGGAATGTAACGACGAGAGGAACGATCGAAGGACGTCTTACCTGTAAACGGGTATCGTGGTCCTCGGTCCTCTACGAAACGATTTCGAACTTACAGAGTAGACTGCTTTTAAAGCGTATAAAAACGTATTAATGGTCCCTAATAATTCTACGATCGTCGGTCCATCGCGTGATAAATTGACCTGTCAAATTGCGGTCGAAAACTCGTTGGAACACGCGAGATCCGTGTAAACGGAAAACGTGTCCCCGTCATTTATGCGTGTCCATTGAACGGGTCCGTAGCGTCCCGTTCACGTGTTCCTCGTAGCGCGTGACTCGTCGAAGAATTCGTCAAGGAGCGTTACTGAATTTCGCTTCGCGATTCTCTCGTCTCTCTGACGGAACGGTCATCAGACAGACGGAGGATGAGAGCCAGGCGTACTCGTTGGACGGAGATCCACGCGCAGTGAAAAGAAATATCTCTGAAGCTGTCTACCAACGCTTCGGGAGGGTTTTCGTTCTCTTTCTGTTTGTCCGAAAGGAACCGTTGTCTCTCCGTGGAAGAGAGGCACCATCGTTGTCGGTACGTCGCGCGAAGATAGCGATCTAGATGAAGAGTTTATCTCATGACAACGCCGGCGCCGAGCGATCGTTCGTCTTCGTCTTGCGAAGCTTTACCGTTGCGAATATGTTCGTCCTGGAAGAATCGAATCGTCACAGCTGCTCAGAGTTTCTCAGAATTTCTATTTATCGATACAGAACAGAATTTCTATTTATCGTGCAGAACAAGTCGTGTATTACTCATTAGCGGATTTTCGAACGAACGTTTCGAGGACTGACAACAAGCTTTTGACAACGGCTATACTCTACGGCTACAATATTTTATGGAACGTAAACGTTTTTCTATTTTGTACTCTGCAACGATTAAGAGCGGGGTACAGCTGTGCAATGTTTAAAAATCTGCAAACTCGCGCAGTAGTGGTAACATAGAAAACAAGGCGAACAAACAAATACTAGCGTACGCAGCTATTCTCCGAACACAAACACTGGTACTCCATGCGAAGCGCAAAGGGAAATAATAAAAAAAAAAAGATAGAAATTCCTTCGTGTTTCGCGCGAAAACAATGCGATAATATTTTTCGGCGTGCACATCGGAATAACACCGACGCGCGCGATACCATGTAAAAGGAACGCCGAATGAATTCCTTTAAAACAGTACGCGCCACCGAGGGAGAGTATGAATATTTTTAGCAAGATTTCACTGTCGCGGCGAACTACGAAATACCGACGAAACTAACAACTGTTTGACAACGAAGAAGTTAAACTCGATTCTTTGCGGTGCCGTTCGAACGTATTCCGATCGGCGGGGTAGATCCGTGAATGAAATCGTTTCGCCGGAAACTAGTTTGCACGGATAATCAGTTGGACACGAAGTTCGATACCGAAGTCGTTATTAATGCGAAAACTAGTTTACGTAATCGTTCTCGTCGTCAGATAACTGTTTGACGTTCACCGACGAAATCCGTGTTCGATCGCAGGGAAAGGTAAAAATTCTTACGTCGTAGGAAGGATCGACAGTAATCAATTGTTGAACGGTGACGATAGATTCAACAAGAGTTACGACTGAAGCGTCATCCGTAACGTTGTCTTCTCCATCGAGTCGAACGATTTTCCGTTCGACGTCAACACATGAATTTTGGCGATGAACAAGCGTCGACGAAAACGCAAACGAAACACTTGAAAAAGCAACATGGGAAGAGAGCGCTACGTGGGAGGGGACACTGACGTTCGCGATGCGATTCGATCGAGAAGGACGACATAAGATCGGAGCGTAACTTAAAAGTAGACGAAACGTCTTAAGTGTAACGATCGGCTGGACATCTTCAAGTTCGTCCTCCAGATCTCCGTGTTCGACGAGACGACGTTAATACACCTTGACAAAGGCTCGTTTCACGGAGCCCGCGGGACCGAGACGACGACGCCGATTCGAGCAGCGAGAGTCTCATAAATTTATTGCTGTTTCTTTTTCTTTTTCTTGTTCACGGACGCGTCCACTCCCCAGAGATCGTACCACGGACCGCAAGTGTTCTTATCCCGATCCGAGTCCCTGCGGAGTTTAGTCCTGGGCAGGAGGGTCTTTTCCGCGACCGTTTGATCCTTGACCACGATGCAGCTGTACGTCGACTCCTCGTCGGACGCCTCCGTCTCGGTGAAGTTCTGCGTCAAACCGTCCTCGTCGTCGGTGTACTTCTTTCTCCTCTCGTTCCTCTTGGCCTCGTTGTTCTCCTTAAGCTCGGCCACGATCATGTTCCGCTTAGCTTCCATGCTGCGTTTACGTTCCTTTTCGAGGATGGCCTTTCGCGACACGTTGCCCACGAAGTAAGACCTCTCCTCTTGGTGCACGCGATGATCGGATCTCTCGACGGTTTTGGGCCTCTCGGCCGGCGTGGGGAAGTCCTCGAAGTAATCCGATTTCTCGGGCACGTGGATCCTCTCGGCGGGCTTAGGGTCTTCGTGATGCGACTCGTTCGTGATCGTCACGTCGCTGTTTCTCTTCTCCAGACTCTGCCGCGAACCGGGAACGTCTTCCGTGTTTTGCTTCTTGTCCTCGGCGTTCTCGTCCTCCTTTGCTTCCCGTTTGATCGTCTTGGGAATGTCGACGAGCGATCTGTGCTGCCAGAGCGCCATGCCTTCCAGAACGTCCGAGTCCCTCCTGAACCTCCAGAAAGACTTGGTTCTCTTCACAAGTTTCGGACTCTTGGCGTCGACGTCGAGGGCACGGCCGGTTCGGATCGAGTGACCCATCGCCATCGCCTGTCTGGACAACAGCGGCTTCCCGTCGTCGTCCTTCAGCGTGTTGTTGTTGGTGTCGTTCTTCTCCGAGCACTGCGGCCCGTTACGTTGGTACTTCTGCAGCTCGCTCTGTCCGAGGTTCTGGTAGCCGTGCCTCTCGATCACCTTCGTTCTCTCCAATTTGGTCTCGAAGTTCGACTCGTAGCCACGCTCCTTGTCCACGGTCACGTTCTCCCTCACATATCTGGTCTCCCCGTAAATCGCCTCTTCCTTGTCCGAATACCTGCGCTCCCTGTACGGGTTTCTGGCCTCCGTCGGCCTCTCGGGTGCTTCCTCGGACGGCGGCCTCGGTCTCTCGAACCGGCGGCTCGACGCCCGTTCCACGTTTCTGTTCCTGTCCGGGTTCTTCTCGAAGGTCCTCTCCCTCTCGTACGTAGACGTCCTCCGAGCAGATTTCTCCAGACACCGATCCCTCTCGCGGTCGAATCTCTGCGGAGCGCGGTTCCTTTCGTTGCGATCGTCGTATCTCTCGTACGGAGGAGGAGGCTGCTTCTCCTCCCTGCGCTCTAGACTCCTGTAATCGTTCCTGCGCTCGACGAACTTCGGCGGGCTGTGCTCGCGCGCGTACTTCTGAGCTGTCTGCTCCAGTTTCTGTGCTATGTGCTCCACCTTCCTGCCTGTCTCCGGGATCGTGACGGTGCTCTCGTCGTCAGTGCCGGACGAGGAGGCCGAGGACGACTTCTCGTTCTCATACTTCGCTTCCTCCCGCGTCAGCGAACGATGATCGCGTCTCGAACCGCGTTCCTGGCCGTCGGTCCTGTCCGAGCAGTACTTCTTCCCGTCGTACTTCTCGTAGTCGAGCCTCGAGTCGTAGTCCTCGTCCTCTTCCTCTTCTTCCAACTCGATCTCGTCCTCCTCGGTAGTCTCCACTCGTTCTTTCGCTCTCTTCGACTCCCGGTTTCGTTCCTGGTCGCTCTGCTCGTTCCTCCTGTTTGTTTTGCGCCCGGACCGCTCTTCGGTGCTCCTGCGATTCGAGCCACGATCGCGACTTTCGTACTCGTTCTTCTGCGATGGCCGCTCTTGCGACTTTTTCCCAGATCTCCTCGCCTGGCCATTCTCCATGGTACCGCGGTCCGAGAACTCGCGGCCGTTCTTGCGGTCCTGGCCGTCGTAGCGACGGCTCGAGTACCTCGCGTCGCCGTTTTCGTTGCCCTGATTCGTGTTCGACTCCGCCCAGATGTCCATAGCCGTACGATAGAGGTGCCAGCTCTTCTCGTCCCGCGGTATCGTCTTCCAAGAATCGTTCTCCCAGTCCTTCGACCTCGACTCATCCTCCTTGTGCCGCTGCTGCTTCACTCCCTCGGTTATTCTGTCGGCTCGCGGCTTTCTTCGCCGTTGTCTGCGTGTTCGTGTGGGCTCGGGGTGAGTAAACAAAAGAGAAAGAGAAAGAGAAGAGAGAGAGAGAGAGAGAGAGAGAGAGAGAGAGAGAAGAGCGAGAGGAGTGCAGCGAGTCGGAAGACCAAGAGCCAAGTATCCATGTACGTGGGTAGGATTAGTTATGCGGTCGTCGAGGTTCGCGTTCGCGATATATGCGGGGGATGGAGGGGAATTATGGCTGCCGGCATCGCAGGAGCCCGTGGAGAGAGGTGAATGAGCCACCACCGCGCCGTATTTTATTTCCATCGACCACGATAGCGCATGCGGAATCTACAAATCAGGAGAGAAAAACAACGATCGTTGCGACTCCAAACGCAGGACTACTGGTTTTTGGTATCGCTGCATCGCGCGGGACTTCTTTTCTTCGGCAGCTACAAATTTATTCTCCAATTCGTTACGTCACCCGTACTCGAGGACCTGTACCAGGGGTGACGAGCCGACCACGGCTCTAAGAAGTTCGTCACCCATACAACTGACCACGCGAAACGAACCGCGAATACGTAGGCCGAGTTCATCACAATTAAAGAACGAAACACTGATTCTGATCTGGCAAACATATGTGTACGTGTACAGGCGAACGATCGAAGCTGACAAGAATAATTCGCAAACTGCAAACGTAGACGAGCACAGAAAATCGGAGCTAAACTCCATGTACATGCACGTACGGTTACTTCGTACAAAATCTCGTTAAAAAATTAATGGAAGGAAGCGTAGCTTGAAAAAATAAAATCTACTCCTCTACGTCATCGATTCTGTACAGTATTTCGTTAGAGGGAGCCAAAGATCAAATGCTGAGCGGGGATAAAATACAAAGCTCGAAGATCGACGAATCGCAGGCGTTCAAGCGTTCTCTACAGGATTGCCAAACGACTACAAAGGCCCGTGTCCATTCGTGGCGTACGTATCGCATCGTCGTTGCGTGTCACGAACCTGCTACCCTTACGAACGGGCGCAGCGATGACGCGCAACGGTGACGCAAGAATACGATGCGAGTGGACGCGTGCTGTTGGCTCATACGAGATACGATCGGAGTCGATCGTGGAACCGTTTGTCGTCGCTCACCTCATCGCCTCGTCGTCGCTGTAGTCGATGTCGGGCTGCGCGGGTGCTTCGTTCGAGAAGCCGCTGTCGTTGCTGCTGTGCAGCGACGTCACGACCTGCGGGGGTGGCACCGGGGGTGCAGGTGGCTGTATCCTCCGGCCGCCGGCCAACACCGTGGGCAACGTGCCCGATGGACGGATCTGTCGTAAGAACGAAACGCGACACGAAATTTTATGACATTTACATTTCCTTCAACGGCAACGGGGAGGAACCGATGTCTCTTCCCCTGCACGGCAGTACACTTTTGATTTGATCTCGACCACGATGAGTACCGTCATTCTTTATTTCGGCAAATTCGTGTCGTACTAGAAGAATCGCTGTTCGAACACAAATACCTGAATTGATCCTTACCGGTTTAGACTGACGCGCGGTGGGCGTCGCTAGATTGTGAGAACTGTTGCTGTTCGGCACGTTGGTCGGCGTGCCGGCGTTATTGTTACTGACGTTGTTGTTTCCCATCCTGTGGAATCCACTCGAAGCCTCGTCGGTGGTGGGCGTCACGGGTGGTCGAGAGGGTGGCGGCTTGCAGGGTGGAACCGCCTGTGGCTCCGTCGCCCGACCGTTGTTCGTTCCGTGGCTCGGCGATCTTCGCGTGTCATTGTAAATTTCATTTTATTCGACAACGCTAACGACGACCGCTGAAAGTGACTCTACTCGGAAGATTTACGATCTCTCTTTCGTTCGCGGAATCCCGTTTTCTCGTCGAATTCACTCGATAACGTCTGAATCGATTTCAATTCTTTCGTACCACGATCGTTATAAAATCTGTTCTTCGTAAACCGTGCGAAGGTATCTCATCGCAATTTAGCGTGATCGACCATCGCGAAGGACCGTTCAGAAGATTAAGAACCAAATTATCATTTTTATACCGATCCACAAATCACGTTTAATAGCCTCTGACAAAATTTCTGTCGCCAATATCGTAAATCTACCGTCGGAATAATGGTATTCGCGCGTATATATAAATATATATATATATATCTACATGTATATATATACATATATACATACATACATACATGTACGTACGCGACAATAACAGGAAGGCGAGGTTTAATGGGAAATAGCCGCATCGATATCGGGGCCATCGTTGTAGTACCAGATTAGCGTAATTGCGTTCGTCCCGTGCAATTGTTAGCAACGAAACATCGTAACGAGATCCGTTCCCGATATCATTCGCAGCCAGACTTTCCCTGTTAAACTTACCCCAGACTATCGTCGATAATAATTTCCGTATACGCCAGCGGGAACCATCCGGAACTTTGTGTGCGCAGATTCTCCCCGAACTGCCAGCCCTTCTGACGATCGCCTAATAAGATATTTTTATGAAACACAAATAACGCCGCGCGACGTCTCGTCGAGAGTCACATGCGCTTCTCTCGTCACGAATAGTCTTCGTAATAGAAAAATTGAGAAAACAATAATAGTGAATGCGACAAGTTTGCGAAGCGTAAATTCGTTCGTACGATGAAACCAATGAAATTCGTCGTTCATCGGTGCACCGTCTCGTGCTCGTCTACGCGTCGAGCAACGGAATTTCAGACGTACGTACTCCCGTTGACCCGACGTGAAAACGCGTTCGCTCTGGCCAGACGGGGATACATAATTTCGCGTGTAAGCGAGCAACGCATGTATCTCGTCGCGGCGTGCAAGTGTTCAGTTGTCAAGTGCTCACCCATCAACGCGATGAGATCGCCCTCGAGGAAACTCAGCTGATTTTCCCCGGAGCTCAAATAGGCGAAGAGAGCCCTCGCGAGGGGTGCGTCGCCCCAGCCGCTGGTGCCGGTCCCCGTGCCACCGCCGCCGCTGCCGCTCCCGGCGCCTCCGCTGCCGCTGTTGCGTGACGCCGGAGGCGCCATGGACCTGGGTCTCGGCGGGGTTTCCGGTACCTCTGCGAAAATACGAGGGAGGTCAACGATTAACCTGGCTCATCTCCGTCATGACTCGCGCGTGACGCGCGAGGAGTCGTTGGAATGCTACGTTTTTCGTGCGGAAGGATCGCGTTGAAATTCGTTGGGAAATGGCCGCGGAATTGAATCGATCTCGAGCATAAATGGTCAATGATGAGTAGGTCTATAGCTATTCGACAAGACGTATTTGTCAGATTTGAAACGCAAGTCGAGATTCGATTTTTCTGTTCGAGGGACATCGTCGTAGCTTCACGAGCACGGTTCAATTTTCCGCCTTTTTCTTTTTTACCGTGTCGCATGTACTATGTTCTGGACCGAGAGAATGGCTCCTAGCCAGGAGCCATCGCATTAAAAGCGGAGTGCTTATTCGAACATTTTTATGAAGTTCTATTCTCTCTACTCCCACCGCGTTCGGTTGTGCGATCTATTTCGTTCTAGTATCACGGCTAACGAATTTATGTATTTGGCTAGCGCGCAGGAAACTTTTATGGCGATGGAAAATTATGTACGCACCTGTAAATTCTCACGAGCGTAAACGAGATCGATGAGTCTTCGTTAAAAGAATTAAATCGAAGAGGAGACGAACTCTGAGATAAACGTGTAAGTCGGAGAGGCGGAAAGAAAAGTAGGGGAGGTTTGGAGAACTCGGTGACTGAGGCGCAGGACTTACCCGGATCCAGTGACAATGTCGAAGCATGAAGATTGGCTTCCGATCTTGCTCTGGACAGAGCGGACGAGAGATGCGAAGCTGGGCCTTGATAAGAACTGTTTGGCACGTTTCCGGAAGGCGGTCCTGGTCGAAGTTCCAGGCAAGAGCTGTCCATGCTCCTGGTCTTCCTCAATTGCGAGCTCATGGTAAGCTCCGAACCACCGTTCTCTTCATCCTCCGGCCAGAACGAAACTTGCTGAACATAAAATAAGATTCATCTGATACTCGGTCGTAACGAAGAAACGAGTACAACGTGCCAGCTGTGTGACTCTGGCGCAGCGTGCCGTTCGCGAATCGCGTCGTGCTCGCGATCGAATTGCCGGGAGATGCGACCGACGAAGATACGAATTTTGTTTGAAGAAGGTCACGCGTCGACGAGAGAAGACTCACCCTGAGCCTGGAGGCGAACATGTCTTGGACGGATTGGGGCAGATACTCCCTGGTAGCAGCCACCTCGCGCCATTTGTCGACCGAGGGATGAAGAGCCGCCAGCGCGACCTCGTGAAAACTCGCATAATGTTTCGCCAGTGAGCATTGTCGCTCGAGAACGAAGCCGTACCTTCTTCGTTCCTGAGTCATAGCCTGGAAAAAAAGACAACGGAACAGTGCTCGGATACGTTCCTGTTCTCGACATCCTCTTCGCTTTGCATCTAGCAATGAATCGACGGTCGATCACAGAGCTCGATTATCGTGACACAAGAAGAAGCGGATAAAATTTTTGCAAAACGTTCATCACGCGTCGTAGAAAAACTGCGTCTTCGCAGCGTGACACGAGAGCGGTGGTCTATTTTTCGAGCTCATTGTTCGACACTCACGTTCTTCAAACTCTGCTCGCAAAAGGCGTCCAGCTTGGACTTCTCCTCCTCGAGGATCTGCATGTTCTTCAGCTCTTTCTCCATGCCGAGACCACTCTTGCTGGCGCCCCTCGACTTCTTCCTCTGCTTCTTCATCGTCGCCGCTGCCTTACTATAAGTTTCGGACCTGGTCTTGTGCTGTTGGAGAAACTTCTTCTGCTCGCTCTATAAAGGATAAGTATCGCTGCATTATTCAGAAATCTCTCGGGCGGTGATTTCAGTCGCTCAGCAGCTCAGCGCCGCGGCAAACTTTGAGCCGAGCCACTGGGACGAACGCTCACCTGCACGACCTTGGTGTCTTTCTCCAGGTTCGTCTCGAGGGGAACCAGTAGGTCGACGTAGAACGCTTTCAGCTGAAAGGCAAGCAAACGGTCGTAGCTAGTAGAGTGTTCGAGGCAGCGGAAAATTTTAATGCACGGAAACGCGGAGAGTGAATTCGAAACGAGCTTAGGTAATGAGGGACTTTCAGCGTTTCCGGCGTGCCGTGCCGTACTCTCGCACGGAAGAACCACCGCCACCGTTTTCTTCGCTCGTCGCTTCGCCGACGACCCGTTTTTAACCCGAAAAAGAATCTGGACACGATCTGAAGACAAAACCTTCCTCCGTTGCCTCGTTTCAGAGGCTGCTTCGAAGTCCGTTGATTCGAATCCGTGATTCACAAATAGAATTCTCACGGCGTTGTTGCGAATTCGTCACGCAGCCGGTCGTCGACGTCGAACGGTGTTTTCGTCAATACAATGTTTTCGACAGTTCGGCCAACGTGTGTGACGCACGTTCTCCAACTTTATTAAAAAATTGGAAAAAGTTGTTGGGAGCAACGATCGAAACCCCGTGCAGTGGCCGAGGCAATCTGTCGAAGGGACGTCGAAATGAAAATCAGAAAATCCATCCGTCGATGCGTTGCACCGCCGTGCCGGCTCTGCTCGAAAACGAAATCCGCGGAGGGTGGGTGTTAGTCGTGGACGAGCAACAGGACACGGTTTCATCGGAATTTCCTCCACTTTTTTTTCAACGTTCCCTCCACGGCTTAATGGACATTGATTAGAGACAGCGTTCCGATCAGAAATACGTATCCACGATCGCGCACGACCTTCCTTCCTATTCGACAGACGGATAGATCGTTGGGTGGCCGTTTGTGTAAAGCGAAAAATCCAGGAAGAACGGGCGATCGAGCGGCGGTGTCGACGCGTGGGGGAGATCCCCGCGTACGATTTTTCATCTACGAAAATCGAACGTCGTCAGCTCAATTCTGTTCGACGTAACGCGATCGAGAAGGGGAATGCAGACGTTAAACGCAGATCAAAGCATGAAATGCGAAGCAAAGAAAAAAGGGAACGATTCCCGAGTATAAAATGTAAAGCTCTATTGTTTCTGCACGGTGATCGTTACGTGGAAGCGAATCGCGAATTTCCCGCGACTTTCGGCGTTTCGAACGAATTCTTGGGAGCTCGATTTCATTTAAACGTTTGACAGGTAGGTTTGACGTTTCAGTGCTGATCTGATAGGAGAGCGCGCATTTATTCGTCGCGGCCTTTCCTTTTTCCATTCGGTTCCTGCTCCTGTTCGAAATGACGTATTTTTACGAGCCGTTCAAAAGCGTGTCTCAGTCACGGGAGAAACCCTTTGCTCTGGTCCAAAATTCTGTTCCGAGCGTAAAACATGTTTTGATCCACAAAGTCACGGATTTAATTAAGCAGTTCTAGAATGTCAGGGACGACCGTGAAAAAGCATTTGTACAACTTTAACGCCGCGTATACGCGCTGCGACGGGATTTTACGGCTGACTTTACGACTCGTTTCCGTGTTTCCGCGCCCGAGTCGTTTGTTTCATCGAACAGAGCTCTCCTTCTCGTCGGCCGCGAAAGAGGAACCCGGTGTTACGCTCGCGTAGATCGACCACGCCTAATTTTCTATCGCTGCCGACTGCCGCGAATATAAGATCGATCCCAGGCGATGTAAAAATCTTTTTTCCGATAAAAGGAAACGTAATTTCCGGTAAACGTGGCGTGCGAAGATCTTCCGAGGAGGCTTTCGTTCCCCTCGTTCTTCTTTCCCTTCCTGGCGGAACGGGAGCTAGGACGGGTCCGGGGAAAGCGGGCTTTTTAAGACGGACGCGGAGCTCCGGTACAAAAAGCTAGCGAAAGTCATGGACCTTCCGACTGCGCCGCTGGTGCAAACATCTCCTTCACCCTCTCTTACCCCCTGTGTGCAAATTTGAACGGGTGGAAGCTCGCGTCAGCGCCCTCAGCGATCCCCGACCCCCGGAGAGCCCGCCGCGCGCTAGACGGTCTGAACCGGATGGTTCGCATTCATCGAGCCGAATCCTGGGCACTTCCGGGTGCCGTGCGTCAATGGAAAGCGTCTAACGTTGCGGGAGTTTTGCGAGTCGGCGTTTCAATATTCATTAGACACGCCTCTCCAGGTATTCGGTCCGCGTGGTCCTTTTTACCATACGAAACGATGCCGTGAAGTGCTCCGTTCAAAATTCTCGGCTATCATCTGGGAAATGGATTCGGATCCAGGATCATTCTCGCCGTAGCTCTTCGGAATACGGACACACCTTCACGAATCTATTTTACGTCGTTTTCATGCGTTCCGTAAAAAAGTTCTCGGGATCCGGCGTCGACGCTTTCGATCGGATTGGCACATCTCAGAGAACTCGTTCGCAATAAAATGGAAAAACAAGGTTCCACCGATTGGCCGTTTTCCAAAAGGGAGGAGAAAGATCCCTCGAACACCATGGGAACGAGAACCTCTGGTCGTCCCGCCGTACCTTATCGCTCGGCAAAAAACTCAACATATCGGCGCTATCTTTTCCGCTGATTCATAATCGTCGAGAAAAACGATCGACTACCGGGCTGTGAATATTCATGGCGAGCACTTTTTTCTCTTTCTCTCTCTCTCTCTCTCTCTCTGTTCGCTGCACGAGGAATCCCGTAACGTCGATCACGCGGGAAACGGAGGCAGGACGGTCGACGACGGTGCGAGACGTTCATGACGAAGTCCCCTGAGCTCTCTCTGAGGACTCTCACTTTCGAAAGTTCGCAGACTTCGCAGAAAGTTTCCGGCGTTCGAAGCGACTTCGAAGACTCTTCGAAACCTTTTACAGCCGCGATCATTAGAATCGTGACTTGTTGCTCGGACAGGGAGAGGTGACATCGAGCTTCCGTCTCGCATTTCGATCGTCATTCACGTTGCACCGGATGCACGCGAATCGAAGATGAGAATATTGAATCGACCCGAAGATCGCTGGCCGAACAAACGTTTCGTTTGCATACGTCTCGCGTTCATCGATTTGAATTACTTTGAGAACGCGTTGTGCCGGCTCGCCGAATCAGCTCTCGGAGTGCATCATACAAATTGGCGCGCTACTTCAAAGCTGGAAGTTCCGACGAGCGTGACGCGCACAAAGTTTTCTCCCTTGACATCGGTCCTTTCAGTCGGCGGAATATGTTTTTGCCATCCCGGCAAACGACTGGAGCGGTCGGCGAATCGACTCGAGAATCGAATCGATCGAAAAATTTGCGAGGGGGCCGAGCATTGAATGACCGTCATTGAACGCCACGAAAGACCCTCCCGCGGAGTCGGGACCTTTCACCGTTGCCCATTCGATTCTCCGCTGATCTGCGCGAAAGGGTCCGTCGGCCTCCGCTCCCGTCTCTCCCGCTCCTTTTTTACTTAACGGACGATCGTTTCACCGGGCGTACAACAGCTTCAAAAGGCTCAAAAGGTAATGCGAGCAAGCTGCTCGAATTTGAGCCAGACCACTCGAAGGATTCATCCACACTACCCTACCCTTTACCGCGGAACCCTTTCCCTTTTACCCCCTTCAGCAATCCACTCAAGAACGTAAAGCCGGTGAACGTTTTCTTTCTACCGATGCGGCGGCTCCTCGAATCGGAAATGACCGCCTGAAAGGTTCGACGGACGGAGAACGCGTTCTCGGTCATCGATCCGATGATGCGTTCCGTCAAGTCTTTCGGATTTATTCGGTACTTTGACAAATCTTCGAACGACGAAATTTGCATCGGGAAGGACGAGTCGGACGAAGAAGCAACGGGATCCGCGTCGCGCTGGGTCTCATTGACTCGTCGCGAATGATCCGCAGATCCGGCTCGTCGTTCCGCGAGGAGCAAAAATTACATCGACAGCGTAGCTGGAAAAGCTTTTGTGCGGCTCGGTGAAAGTTTTCACGGCGGCGTGGCGACCCTTCCCGTGGGAGGTCGGTCGTCCGTTCTGACGGTGACTACGCGTCGAGCTGCGCTCTGTCTCTCTCTCTCCTTTTTTCGTTGCTCGCTCCCACCCTGCCATCGTTGATCACAAGCCACGAATTACACGTCGCCAGAAACATATCTTCAAAGTCACAGTTCCTCTTGCGCGAGTCACGTTCCCCGGAGAGACGAACCGTGCCGTTCGATCCGACGACACCTGACCAACACGCGTACTTTTTTCTGACAATGGCTTCAGTGGCGAAGAGAAATGCGTGACACTTTCCAGGTGTTACCCTCCCAAATTGAATCAGTCCCCTCGATCGGGAACGAAGGAATCGGGCCTCGTTCATCTCATTAGCTGGACGCCTGAGCGTATCGAGGTCGACGAGGGGAACCTCGTCAAATCCTAGGAGACGTTGAACGAAACCTCTTACGAACGGTGGTTAGGAACTAGGAACGGAAGGAAGAAAATACATCTGTGCCGCGTATGAAATTTCATGCGAAAAGCTGAAATTTTATGCGCTAATCCCATCGCTTCGAGTCGTTCATCGTTCAACCCATAAAACTGAGTCGACGCCCGTGGCAAATTGTTCTTCCGCTGTATATTTCCGCGCGATTAGGCTTGGCAGGAACGAAGCTCGAGGTGCGAGAGAACCGGCGACGGGGGGCGCGACGTCTTTACGAACGTTGCCAGGCGAGGCTCCGAGCTCTGACGTGATCTCCGGCAACGGAGAACGAACGGGGGTGGTCGGAACGGAACGCGAGGCGAAGAACGAAAGCGTGGAGAATAGGGGTCGGGGATGTGCCGTTGGATGCGCGCGCGTTGGCCCGAGACAACGACCTTTCGTGCGTGAATGGCTTCGGATATGCGTTTCCTATGATACAGCCGGTGGAAGCGGTCCCGAGGTCTCGAGGGCCCGTTGAGAATTCTGAGCGAAAAAGGAAAGTACGGGTATGGCGAGACGTATGTACGGAACGCGGGGTGAAAATATTAAATGGGAGAACGCGTCTCGAACCGCGTACACGACTCATTTCCCCGGTACCGTCGACCCATCTTTCTTACCATCAGAAATTACGAGAACGTACGCGTGATCTTTAAATTGGAAGACTCGGTGCGACGAGAACAGGCGTGCGAAGGTCTGTGCATTGAGAAAAGAGTAACGATATTTCGGAACAGTGAGAAGTTCGGTGTTCCCGTATAAACCTGAGCACGTACTCGTTCCCGAAGCATTCGGGCGGCGACGGTCGCGAACTTCTTCGAGACACGCGCAATATCTTCCCGGTGAGCTCGTTCTTATCTGTTCCGAGAGACCACGATGATTCCGCTGGTACAGCACGAGAATGTCTCTCGGCGGTAGAAAAAACGACTCTTAAATCATCCGATATCACCGAAGTCTCGGTGAACCTGGCTCCGGAGGGCCATAAAACGCTGGGAGGAAACGTGGAACGGGGTCTGGTCGAGGAAACAATTACTTTCCGGGTAACGGAAGTTATCGACTACGGTCACGTAGGAAACAATTAGTTCGGTCCTGGTTTCCGGTCGCGGTTTTCCACGGTCGGCCGAAGCACGGGTCTGCTCGGACGTCGCAATTCCGCGAAAATCGCGCGGGCAATAACGCCGCGACCATTGCCGGGAAATGTTGTTCTTCGTTTCGCCAGCCGGGAGGGATCAAAGGGGCCAGACCTTCTCTTTCGAGACGTTAACGTTCGCTCGAAACGACGACCGGATCCGCTACGATCGTTCATAATGGCTCGGGGATCATTGTCGGGAATATTCCTCGTATGGGGGAACGGGATCACGCGATGGGAATATATATTCTGGAGAAACGAGGCAAGGGTTTAAGGGGAATGGACCTGCGCGGCATGCGTGCCCATTACGCCGTGGCTCCGACGATTCTTGGTATCTGAGCTTCACGGTTCACCGTCTCGACCGCGATTCGAGCGTGCCGCGTCGCGATCGCAGACCGGATCGATAAGAATCGTCACCTTCGCGAGGAGTATGAAACGTTTCGACGGGACGAGTCACCGGAGATGTCCAGCAAGAAGGTCTTTCATTCATTATCGCCGCGTTCTCGCGGCCGCGTCAGAAGTTCTTTAAAACCCGGCGTGTCCGATCTCGGTGGACGGACGGTACCCTCGGCGGGACGCCGCCGTTTCGAAGACGCGAGCTGGTATCGCTGTCCACGGGGTGAAATCGTAACGGAACGAATTTTCACTCTCAAAAGAGACGTCTGCAGGTGTGTGATCTCAACCCGGAGGCGGTCTGGGATTTCTCGCGAAAGGATCAAAGAGATTTCCATGTGTTTCTGAACACGGCGGCCGCGGCGACTCGGCGTCGCCACACCGTCGCGGACAGAGAAAGAGACGAAACCGCGGGAAAGACGGACGAGAGGAGGAAGAGAGTCGGTGATTAGGAAAGGGCGCGTGACGGAGACAGGGGCTAAACGACCAGAATACTCTTTTAACTTTCCAATTAATATTCCGACCGGGTCGGAACTCGTTGCCTTCTCTCCGGCCCCCGTTTGCACCTACGAATCCACCGTCGTGGATTTCGGTTTCTCGCGCGTCCCGCATAAATCTTCCCTACTTTTAATTGCATCAGCCGCGTGGTCGTTTATTTAAATAATTTCGAGACCGAATCGGGCCACGGAGAACGGGAGACGATTTATTCCTTCCCGCAGCGGATCGACCACCCTGAGCTCGTTTACGAATGCCTACCCTTCCGTGGATCGTCCTTATGAACTATTCAAGGTTTGATTTTCGGGGCTGGATACGATGTTTCTCACGATTCATCGAGGGAAATCTACGCGCGGCGCGGAACTCGTTGAAGGGCGCAAGATTCATCGCGCTCGGGGGTCGAGAATCGTTAATAATTGAGCGAACGCGACGGACTCGACGTCTCACAATTTCACTGAACGATATTGCTCGAGATCGCGATTTCGTGCGAGGTAAATCACGTCGGAAGATCGATCGTTCATACGAATCTTCGACTGCACGAACGTTTCTCGTCTCACGCGTTTAGACATTCTTTTTTTTAAGAATGAAACGGGAATACTCACGATGTTCATTTCCTGTTCTTGTATCTCCTTATAGACCTCGACGATCCTCATCAGCGCGAATCCTGCAACAGAAACCGAGTTTCAATCGTTTTCAAATCCTCCGCACGCACCGGGATTCGCGTCGAACCACGAAGAGGAGCTTTCGCCTCGGTCGCGGTTCAAACTTTCGGTCCTGAATTATTCAGGCACGGCTGGTGTCGTCGATACTTTAATCCGGCGGCGTTAAGGGTGAGAGAAAGGAGGGGGCCGGGAGGAGGGCACCCGTCGGGCCAGGGAGACCGCGATGCTGCACAGCGATCCCAGCGGCCGATTTTCGCGCGACTTTGCTCGGAGAGCCGACGAAAGGAGAAAAAAGGGGAAACCGCGATCGCTTCCGGAGAAGTTGTAGCGTTGATGTTCGACCGGGGAAGTTTCCCTCGGCCAGTTTTCGCTGGAAGTTTCCCGTCGCCTCCCGTCCGTTTCTCTCCAAGACGGTTCCACGAAAGTAAGTCCTTGAAACGACGCCACGCGGTGCTCGCCCCCGTGTGCATGCGTCGCGATTAGAAGTCTAGGGGCAAGAATAAATTTGCGGAACGATTGCAGAGTTCGAAACAGGCGGTTCGACGAGAGGAATTAAAAACTGAACTCTGATGACAGATTTGATCTGTCATCGACGATGACAGATTTTGGATGATCTTTGAAGACCGTGAACCGACGTCGGGTGAGCGAAAAATTCCGCCCTGTCAGTCTAAAAAGATACAAAGGAGTCGTACAGAAGTTTGATCGACTAATTAAAGTTTTAATTAACTTAAATGAACGTCGATCAACTCTAACTTTAAATTAGATTATTAAGGTATCTGTAATAAAATTGGAGAAGTTTTGTATGTACGGTAGTGATGGCTCGTGAGAACTTCTCGTCGTCTGAACGACTCGTTGTAAACGAACATTTTTATCAAACTTCTCTGCAAACAATTACACCAGCCATTTCCCCGTTACGTTCGACTTTCGTTCATCGGTCGACGAACGCGAGTCCGACCGAATTCGATTTTGTACTTTCTGAAAACGTTACTCGCTGTGTTTCGATTTAATCGGAACGCTTAAGAAACGAAATTGCCAGAGAAACCGTGACGTGGAGAGCAACATCCACGCGAAATGTTATTAGCTCGGGTTATTATTTAACCCGAGTTCTAAGCGTTTAATTAACGCGGCCAGCGTTAAACTCGCATATTTCCCTCGCGTCTTGTTTCCAGAGGATGCACCCTTGCGCCAACGTTATATACGTCCACCGAATCTTTTTCATAACCCCTTCGCTTCTCCGGCCGTACGTCAACGTCGACTTTAATGCGCGCCCTTCATTTTTTCTCGCCGCACCCTCTCGCTCTCTCCTTACGCATAAATACTTTAGCGTGACTCGACTAAATCCGCGGGGGCGGATAATAATTCAGACACTTCATTGGAACGCCGCTCGCGCCAGTTTCGTTATAGCCGGCCGCGCGTTAAACGTAGCGACCGCGGATCGTAAAATCGCTGTTCCGCGGTTTTATATGAAATTGATAACGGATATCTTTGAAATAGCCACACACGGTGCTGTCGTGAGCATTACGATCTTTTACGACGAGACATTACGTCGCGCGATAAACTGTGAAATCATTTTTATTTACCGATTCTGCTGTCAAAACAGGAATTCGGTTCAAGTATTATTTAAATAGGCGGACGAGACAAAGCGGACGCTTCGTTTGCATGTTTGAGCGGTGTAAGAAATAGACGGATGGATCATATAGAAGGATTTGTGAAAGCGTAATGGACGGGATTACGTGGATCAAAATCTCGTCGAGGACTCGTCTCGGGTTCCCCTTCGATTTCTCCCTTAATATATGTGGATCGGGCCAGCAACGCGGTGGGACTTCCCGACATATGGGATTTCCTCGTCGCATTTAACCCCGCGTGGCTGGGATAGGGGCTTCCCTTCGTGAACTATGTTCGGTCGACTTTCATCTCCAAGGTTTCTCAAAAATAACTGACAGGCATCGCGTACCTTCGAACAGCCGTTTCTCGTTTTAACGTCGTAATTAGTTAGTTAGTTTTCTGAATTGAGATCAAAAATGTTTTGCGACTCGCGTGGAAAACGAGCAATCGGTACAAATGATCCGGGCTCGCTGGGAAGAATCGAGACGAATTTGCCGAGTTGAATCGACGGTGGAACTCGGTGCATCTGCGGGTGCTAGAGAGACACACTTTCGAGATCGGAGCTAGAGATTACCAAGCCACAAGATCTTTACGCTTCCGTATTAACATACCGACGCGTCGACTCGGCGACAGCTCGCCAGAAGGGCCGGAAGAGAGAGAGAGAAAGAGGGAGTGAGAGGGAGATGCTAGTAAATTACGCGCCGCGAATCAACTCTCGAGCCGGAGGAGACCGAGCACGGGGACTCGGGAACGAAGTTGCGGTTCAGCGAGGTCAGAGGCGAGAAGAAGAGTCGAGCGTGCACCAAGATCGAGAGGGTCGAGAGAACACGGTACAGGTTGACGAATCGAGTCGGGTGAAGGGTTCGCCTGCCTGAACGTTCCACCCCATCGCTGCATCGTATCCTGCCTCTACAGTGTTCTAATCCCCTGCCGTGTGTGAAGCTGAGCGTGTCGGCCAGCCTCTACACGTACACAAGTCCGTGAATCGAATTCGACCACGTGTGCGCTTCGTGAGATCGTCAGACAGGCAGAACGTTCGCTCGAATGGCTGCGGTTCGTCGAGGAACGGTAGGGCTCGGTGCTCGCTTCGGGCGTAGGTACGTTCCTCGATAAGAAATGATAGTTAGGCAGGGCAAAGCGAAAGTTCATAGACAGCGACGTTAGAAATTGGTGAGTCGCGTATGCGGAAAAAGCGATTCGGGGATCGAACGGGTCGATCTGGTCGCTGACTTCGACGGGAAACGAATGTCTCGCACGAACGCGATACGGATAAATATCCCGCCGATGCGTGGGCGTTGGTAATTTCGGCAATGGAGAGCGAAAGGGGGCGGTAGGTAACGCGGCGTAACGATGCTCACGGGGCTTTGGCTACCGATGTGCGGCTTCGGCTATGCGGGGTTTAATGCCCGACGCGAGGGGCTTAACGCGTAACGTAAACACCGTCGGCGGATCTATGGAGGCCGGGCAGACGGTCGAGCGACCGTGCTCGCGAGAAGCTCTCTCCCGACGCTACGCCGGCCGGGTCGCTGCGTCGAACGGGTTTCCGGTGGCATCGACGCGAAGAAGAGACTCGGGGTACTCCGCAACGGGACACTTGCCGGAAAATACGACGCCACTTCCGACCCCGGGACACGGTTCATTGGATCGGACGCGGCCACGTTCGCTCGGGCTTGTGTACCAAACGACACGTGCGGCGGACGTTGTAAAAATTGCACGATATAATCGCGTCGACCAACCACCGGAAACTGTTCAAAGTTTCATTGAGCCGACGAGTCCGTCGTTTTTTACTCGTCCTCGCGGGGACACGATTTTTGGACGACCGCGTGCCGTTCGTGGCGGAAGAAGAGTTCTTCTTAAATCGAAATTTCTCCAGGGGTGCGATTTCGGTGGAGCGTTCCCGCGGAACGGACGTCCCGACGATCTCCTCTAAATTTCATATTTTATTACGACGACGACGACTCGAACGGAGGGGAGAGTCTAGAATGAAAATTAATTTGGCCAGAGTGCATTTTTGTCTGTACGCTGGAATGGAAACGCGTTTAATTGCCCCGGCGAATTTCGGAGTTCGAGTAGCTGAAAAATTTCACCCTCGACTTCTATCGCGTCTCTCTGAACGACACCCCCTGAGAGCCAGTGTCCGACGCGGGGGAGTGAACGTTAAAGAGTAACGAACGTGGCGTACGTAATTCCGTTCCGTTTCGTTCTGCCCTGCCTAGATTTTGTCGATATCATAAACATATTCATTCGGAACGGTTGAGCCGCGACTCGTGGAACGGCCATCTAAAACACAGCGCGGCAGCACGTGACTTGGCGTGTTTGGTAAAAAATGCGCGAGGGGAATTTAAGGCGTCGTAAAGGGTGGGACCGGGCGGACCTATAAAAGGAAGGAACGGAGCTGAATATTTGATGTCCCGCGAGCGTCCTTGTCGAACCGCCGTACTCGGACGTCCAAATGTCCCCCGGCCAACCAGGCTCCGGCTTCCGGCCGACCGAGGAATCCCTTCCTCGGGAGGAAAGTTTAGTAGACGCCAAGCTTTCCACTTCTCTCCTTATCTCGGCCGGCTAGAGAACTTTTATGCGTGTTTATGGCGCGGTGCATAATTCACGAACGATCGCCAGAGACTCTCCTACGACTCTTGCCAATTTCGTGACCTTCGAGACACTTCTTACTGTCTCGTTTTGTATAGTAATGGATCGCTCGAGTAGAAACACGTTCGACGTGAGACACTGAATTTATCGGTTGATCCGATTTGCCGACGGGTAGTGAGTAAACGTTGAACTCGCGCGAGATCGAAACCCCCGCGACGTTTCGTACTTCCAATACGTTTTGAGATGTCTCGAGGGCGAGTCGATGCACCGGAAACGGAACGAATCGAAAGCAAATTCTGCTTATCCGGCCGTGGTTCAATATTGGTCGCCGGCAACCGCCTTCGGCTTTGTGACCTTTTGTTCCGTGGTCGTTGATCCGAAAATCGCCGGTTTCGTTTGAGCCCCTGAGTCCACCGTTTCCAGCTCCTTCTCATTTTGTTGAAAATTGAACGATTCCGTGTTCTCTCTCTCTCTCTCTTTCTCTCTTTCTCTCACGCCTTTCCCCTTGAGAAAGGACTTGGGACACGATCGAAATTGGATCTTCTTGGAATTTGTACAAACGATTCCCTTTTGTATTCGTTACATTCAATTTGTTCGAGTGGCATTGCGACCTCTCGTTCTTCGCAATTTATTAAAATCGGGTTAGTGACGAATTTTTGAGAAACTCATTTCCAAACAAGTGAATAACATGTGATCGTGGGCACGGCCAACGCTACGGTACTTGACAGAAGATTTCGCGTTTCGGATGCGAGCGGGGTCTCAATGGTCGACTGCGCATAGTACGGGAAACTACTTAGGAGGATTAGTC